GCTTGATTTAATCCAGTCTTTCCTATTAAATCGTGGTATGAGCGGGAACGCTTCCACACACCTTCACACAATAACGTGTCTCCCCAAAGCTTTATCCTGGGCCCTACGCTGTTTCTGATCTTCAGCAATGTTCTTCCTGATGTCATCAGTTCCCAATTAGGCATTTATGCAAATGACACTATAATTTACTCCTCAATAGTAAATCCGTCAGAGCTGACAAATTTAACCTGGCCGTTACTCTTGAAAAGGACCACCGATCAGTGGTTAACTGGGGCAGAAAATGGCTTGTAAATTTTAATGCCTCCAAAACGAATCTGCAGTCTTTTAACCACTATAGAGAAAATTACTGCGAGCCATCCTGGATAGCGACACACAGCACCTTCTTGGCCTCACGTTTTCAACTGACTTGAAGTGTAACAACGACATTGAATCAATAGCTGAATCCACTGCAAAAACATTTGTGTCACTGTGTTGTGCCAGAAGGGATTTCTTGTCAGAGTCAATCTTGGATATTTACAAATCTACCATTCATCTGTGCATTGAATGCTGTTGCCATATCTGCCCTGGTTCTCCTGCTGTTTATCGCGAGGTTCTTGATAAAATCCAAAGACGGATCTGACATCTCGACTTCAGTCACTTTCTCGCAGACGTGATGTAGCGTCACCCTGTCTTTTCTATAGATATTTTCATTGCAAACTGCTTTGGTGAGACCCCCCCCACCTCCTCTGGTGACACGACTACATGAATTTGAGCGTGCTACTAGATTGGCATCTAGGTCCCACCATTTTACTGCCGAAATAGTTAATTGTAACCGCCACTTCTACTCCAAAAGTTTCTTTTCTCGCACCTCTCGACTGTGGAACTGTCTTCCGTTTACTTGCTTGCCTGAAAATTCCAGTCTTCAAATACCTAAATGCAACGTCAGTTACCATCTTCTGTCGTCTTGACCATCTTCTATCTTTTTCTCACACCCCCCCTACCCAGTCTTTTCTTTCGCTTTCACTCTTTGTAAGCCTCTGTATAATAGTGGTACTCTCGCCTTGTTTGGGGTGAAATGATTTTTTTTTTTCAATTCCAGTTCTCAAATAAGTTGTTTCATATCTTAATGCTATTACGGATAAATTATCTAACAATTTCGATTTGTGTCATACTTTCGTTTAATTCTATATATAAAAAAAACCCTAATGACTACAGACACACTAGCAGCGTAACGTACTCATGCTGTGGCTCTATACTCCTCATGAGTTTACTGAAGAGTATGGATGTGCTCTTAGCGCAGTACTCAAAGTGAAATCGGAATTCCGAGTTCAAATTCCAACCTGTTTCATTGCGTTCGATTTCTCGTCGGGAAATGTATGTAGCTATCTCTTCCGCCACCTCACTGATATGGTTTAAACAGAGAAGCAGACAACATTCTCTAACCTTACTTGAGAACAATTCTCTAATTAAAAACCAGTTGGGGGCGAGTCTATTAAATACACTCTGTTAAAATTTATTTGCCACATACTTAATCGCATATGACGCCGTGACAATGTCACACAGAATTTCTCCCAGCGATTGAATAAAATATTCGATTTAACAATTTTGTGACTCTAACAACCAAAATGAGGATAACTGTTTGATGGTTGGTTCTTTGATTTTATGTACTTGCTCTGCAATTTGATTAAATAAAATATTCGGTTTCATATTCCCAGAATGTTACCAAATAAGAAAAGGCCGGAGAATACAACGGCCGAAATTTTGTGACTCTAACAACCAAAATGAGGATAACTGTTTGATGATTGTTTCTTTGATTTTATGTGCTTGCTCTCCAATTTGATTAAATAAAATATTCGGTTTCATATTCCCAGAATGTTACCAAATAAGAAAAGGCCGGAGAATACAACGGCCGAAATTTTGTGACTCTAACAACCAAAATGAGGATAACTGTTTAAAGATTGGTTCTTTGATTTTATATGCGTGCTTTCCAATTTGAAGAGTCCGGTGTAGAATAATGAAAACTCAAAAACCAAGAAAAAAAACGCAGTAAAATCTCCATCTGCCAGATATTAAATGAATATGATATCATATTTGACAGTGATGTTTTTTTTTTTTGCTTTTTGTTTTGTTTTTTTTTGCTTTTTGTTTTGTTTTTTTTGTTTGTTTTTTTTACGTTTTATTACTTTCAGTGATGTTTTGTACTGGGTGGCATGAATAAAAACATAAAAACAGGGGTTATATTTATGAAGTCTTGGTTGAATTCGCATCGTGTTTGGTTTCTACAAATGAGATTTTAATTTCGGATCGCATGTGAATCTCAGACCCGTAAAATTAGTATTCGAAATAACATCGACGCTTAACTATGTGCGCGTAGTTTACTCAGTACGGAAATTGAATTCAGCGAACTGCGGTCAAATTTCGGCGTAGTCTGTTGCATTCACTTTCGCATAAATAGCCTTAATGGTTTGGTTTATTTTGTTTTACGGGTTATCGACTTCAATGGGTAATGCCGACAAGATTTCTATTGCTGGTAATTTTTTTTTTTTTATTCCAAAAATGTATAGCTGGTAATCGCTTCAACCCCAAGCAAAGCGATAATGCCACTAAGACGCATGGGATTACTGGGAGTGAAAATGAGGAAGAGTAAAAAAAAAAAAGGAAAATAAATGAACAGGATTCAAGGATACAGGAGATGGCGATTGACATTGCATTCAAAGTTTTGAAGATTGTAGGTGGCAGTGAAACAATAAATTGAAAGGTAGTTCCACAGGTGAGAAGTGCGAGAAATGAAACTGTTGAATAGAAGTGGAGGTGGTATCGCGTTAGTTCAACAGTAAAGTTATGAAACCTAGTTGCCAGTCTAGCAGAACGATTAAATTCCTGTAGTCAAAGCACCAGCGGGAAAAAAATCATCAGAACAGTAGCGATGAAAATATTTGTAGAAAAGACCGAAGGGAGCTACGTCATGTCGTTGAGAAAGTGACTGAAGTCGAGATGCCAGATCAGGAGCTATCATATTGATGGTTTGGTTTGTTTTGTTTTACGACATATCAACCTCAATGGGTTATTTAGTGCCGACAAGGTTTTTATTACTGATAATTTTTTCCCAAAAATGTATTGCTGCTAATAATTTTTCCAGAAATGTATTGCTGGTTTTAAAACCAATTTTTACACTTTCGTAGTGTGTTTTTATTACTGGTTTTTATTACTGCTAATTATTTTTTTCCAAAAATGTATTGCTATAATTTTCCCAGAAATTCATTGCTGTGTATATATATATATATATATATATGAGTCTCATGGTCAGAAAGCGAACGTTCTAACCACTCGGCAATATATATATATATATATATATATATATATATATATATATATATATATATATATATATATATATATATAGATGTGTGCCTGTGCGTGTGTGTCTGTTTCAGAAGTTTTCTGTTTATACTGTTTATGGATATACTTATTTGTGTAAATGCTCTGTTTTAAATTAAACAGTATTAATTACAATGGCTAAACTGGAGGTTCTCTGTGGCTGAACGGTGATAGCACGTCAGGCTAAATGATGGTTTCATAAAGGATAGAGATTCCATTCGGAACATGCATTTTTTCTTGTGAAATTTTTCGAACATTCAGGCCGGTAAATGTTATTAAAATGTTAATTAAAAAAAACAAAAAAAACAGAGCATTTACTCAAATTAGTGTATCCATAAAAATGTATAAATATATATATATATATATATATATATATATATATATATATATATATAAACATAGGAGCTACTGAAGAATCCTGGACAAAGAAACTACGAAGAAACACCCTTTATTACTAGTAAACACGTGAACAGCTCAATGCTTTCTTAAAATATCTGGGAGATTAAAAACAAAAAACAACTCACACCCAACATACCATGGAAAATAAAGAAAACAGCATCAGCCTACAATAATAAATCCAAAAAAACTGCAAACAATGTGTGGAGAAATTAGCTATAATTAATTTCCCAGACCAAAACAAACTACTAAATAAACGATCAGAACTCATCTCAAGATGCAGACACGAAAACAATTTTTTACTACGTTAGTCAAAAAATTGAAAACTTAAAACAAAGAAGAATAAATAAATATAAAATAAAATAAAATAAACAAGTAACATAAATTCATCCGAACCAATAATTATATAAATAAATCAAGTAAATAATAAACAAATTAAACAATCTGTGAAGGGACAGATAAACACAAGTAAATGTTATAATAACTACTATAATTAATAATGAATAAGAAAGAAGACTATAAAACAGGCATAAAACTGGATCCGGATTCACAATCATCTCTACTCAATAGCTCTAAAATAATTTGAGATATAATCGTTACCGCCAAATCCAAATAACCGTTAGAAATATACCATAGGCCTACCCACAATGCATCACTGACCAGGATATATAAATAGTCGAGCAAAAAAACAACGAACACGGCCTAACGATTGCCTTTAAGTATGAAACAGGCTGTTGCCGATGTTGACTTCAATGTTCACACACACACATACACACACACACACACACACACACATATATATATATATATATATATATATATATATATATATATATATGCTTATTTCCCTATATTCTCCTATTTCTATTTCTATATTTATAACTTTATTCTCCTTTATTTTATATTTATTTTTATTTCTATAATTATATATTTGAATTATTAATTATTCTTATATTTATATATATTTATCATATATTTATATTTTCTTCTAATTTTTCTTATCTTTACGTCTATATATATATATTTAATATTACTTTTATGATTAGTTATTGTAGTCTTACTTTTTTATACTTATTTATTTATATAAAGTTACCTGGGTGTGGAGGAATTAGGAACAGAAATATGAGTAATGAGTAGAAAAAGAAAAGAGTACTCAGCAGCACAGTAGATAGTGATTGGCATTGCATTTAAATTCTTGCCGATTAAAGTTGCGTGTAAATCATGGAGCCGGAAGGGAGTGCCACAAACTAGAAGTGAGAGAGAGAGAGAGAGAGAGAGAGAGAGAGAGAGAAGAAACTGTCAGCATAGAACTTACAGCTACGTCTATTTTGTACATAATTTTATACCTTCCGGGTCAATGTACGTTTCTTTTTTCTCTTCTTTTTTAAATATACTGTTATATATATTTTTTAGATATAGTGTTGTATATTTTTAGATATATAGTTGTATATTTCCCTTATTTCTTTTTTAGTCATATAGTTGTAACATCTATGCTGACACTTTCTTTTCTTGCACCGCCAGAATTTATGGCTAAAGTCCGGTGAGAAGACGAATACTTATCTATTTTAATATATTTACTAAACTTGCATGGAATATTGCTGTCACTGCTGTCATATATGGTCTGGAGACCCCGCTGTTCGTCTTAAGGTCCTCGACAAAATCGACAGAGACGGATATGCAATATAATTGGCCCTGATCTGGCATCTCGTCTACAGTCGCTCTCTCAAAGACGTGCTGTGGCTTCCCTCTGTCTTTTCTACAAATACTTTCATGGTAACTGCTCCGACGAGCTACTTTCGCTAGTTCCAAGACTGCATGAATTTAAACGTGCTGCTAGTTTGGCATCACAGTTCCATCCTTTCACTGTCGAAACGGTTAAATATAGCCGTCTCTTCTACTCCAATATCTTTGTTTCGCACTTCCAGTCTGGGCAACTCCCTTCCTTTTACTTGCTTCCCTGACATTCAAATGCAATGCCAATCGACATCTCCAGTTTTCGATCTATTCCCCGTCCTTCTCTTCATCCATTCCTCTATCACGCCGCTTTACTCTTGCTCCCATTCTCTCCAACCCCTTGCGTGCTAGTAGCACTCCGGCCTCGGTTGCAGTGAAATGCTTAAAAAAAAAATTTAAAAAACTCATTTATTATCCGTAGGCAGACATTTTATTGGTAGTATAGGTTCTGGATTATTCTAATATTCTTCTTAAATATGTCAAGGTTACCTATTAGTTGCAACCGTATTGTGACGTATTTTCTAAAACGCTTTTGCATAATCTATGAAACACAGGTATATATCCTTCTGCATTGCTCTATGTTAAATACTTCTTGGCTATGTTATCACTTATGGAATATAAATGCAGTATGAAGCCTGACAGCTTGTTTCTTTAACTGGTGCTAAAAAACCTTCCTCAGACTGTATCTTTTAACAACACTGTAGATAGAAAAGTAGGGTGTGGTAATTTTGTTTATCATCTGAATATTTGCAAAGGTTATTACAATATGCCAGCGTATATCTCGGGCATATTGTAATAACATTTGCAAATATTCAGTACGGAATTACTAGCATCATGGCTGACAAGTCTCTATATAGATACTTTATCGGTTTATCGTGTGATAACTACGATGAATCATTCCTCACATTCCGGTACAATCTTTTGGATTTTGTTTTTAAAAGACTGCGTCAAATACGGCCATGTGTATTAATACCTTCTTTGTTGAATAAATCCTACGAGATTAACTCAAAATTTACAACACAGAATATTCCCTTATTCTTGTACAGTTTTGACATTTTCACAGTTGAGCTGTCGCTAGTTTGAGAAATATAATTTACCAGAACTGAAGAAAGTAAGATTTTATTTTGATTAAACGTAGGGCTTAGTATCCTTTCTATGGTAAGAGTTCCAGTCATCAAAGACAGACCTAATGGTAATGGTAATATTATCCGTTTCCTTACAAGGAAACATTTGGCATTCATTGAGCGAACAGTTAGTACTGCTGCCAGTTGAAATTTATAACACCTTTCACGTAAAATAATTTCTCAGGAAAATAACTTTAAGTCAATTAACTGATATCACTCTTTCTAGTATTGGTTTGTAGTTCGCTTCCTATCTTTTTTAAGTGAAGTGGCATTTTGATTATGCCATTATTTTCTCTTCGGGTTACATGTGTTAGCCATTTTAGTTTATAAGTGAAAAAGACGAGATAAAGCGGAACATCTTTAATCAAAGATGCATAGAAAAGATTACCTGATGTGTTCTTTAGCTTCATCAGTTCGAATGAAAAAAAGAAAAACGAAACTATATATTGAGAGTTTTGGGGTGATCTGATAATAATTTGGCTGTCGTAAACTATGTGCCATGCGCGACACACGGTTAGGTTTCGATACATGAATGATGAGGTAAACATTTTTCTAGTTGCCATCCGAGGCTATAGAACCTGGTCTGCCCTGCTATTTACCCATAGCTGGGGGTGAGAAAGAAAAGGATGCATACCTTTCCCAAGGAGATTAGCACGTAAGTGAATGTAATGGATTTGACATGAACTCGAACTCGCCCTGCCAATTCCTCAGTCCGAGCCGCTATCCATTACTCCACCGTGCAAATAAATGAAGCCCCAAACATGATAAAAACAAAGTTTTATCGTTAAAACTCTTATGTTATTATTAAGAGAAAATATCAAAGTATTTTTTTATTATAATATTAATTTTTTTTAATCCTTTCTAGCAAGTTCGAAATTTTAGTTAAAAATCTTGTGTTTCTTCCACTAACGGGTGTGCCAAAGATTAGCATGGGAAAATTTAATGTCTTTTTTGCGGTACAAAACATATTGTTTTGGAAATTCTTGCAAAAATTAAATAAATGTCGGATGTTAATGATATTTCCTGGACTTATTCACAATTTAATGAAATTTATTTTTTTAGAAAATCATGGTAAAAATACAATTTTTTTACATCTGTTACCCCCAATTAATTAATTTTATGAAATTTCGAGAAATTAAAAAAATCTTTGGAAAATTTAAATCATCAATTTGTTTTTGTAAAACGGAAACACTATTTACCGAAAATCTGCTCTGAATTGTAAAATAAAAAAGTTAAATCAAATTAAATTAAATTAAATTATGACATTATTTAATTAGAAAATCTTTTAATTGCTTTTATAAATAAGATATGTTAAGGACACTATTGTTTAAAAAAAAAATTTTTTTCGATGAATAATGAAATTTTACAAGAATTATTTACATTTTTTTATTTTAATTAAAGTAATTCCTTAAGTTTTAAATATTTTAAAATTCTGTATTAATTTCACCCTTTTAGATGATATTATTATTAAGTGAAAACTATATTTATTAATCAGAAATGGAAAAGCTTAGTACAAATCATCAAACACCAATATTTTAAAAAGAATTTTGATTTTTTTGTATATGTATAAGCGTGACAATTTTTGTACATTGGGGCAACTATATACGACATTACCTTGATCTACCCACTATCTTTCTCCTCATCCTTTCTCCTAGCACTCCTATCTGCTCTCGCTCCAAATCTTCCGCAACCCCCTGCATCCTAGTGGCTTCACGCCTTGCTTGGGGCGTAATGCTTAAAAAAAAAGTAAGAGCGATAAGTATAGTAAATTTAAAGACAAAATTTCTAAAATTCTATAGAACATTAGTTTACGTAGAACATTTTCCTTAAATTTTTTTTAAGTTTACTGAGTACTTAAAATTTATATAAAAAAGGCGCTCACGTCATTTTATATTTTACAGATAAAAATCCCCATAGAACAATAGTTAGACCTGTAATCACGCCATCAGGGCGTCAACTCCTTAAATAAAAATCTACTGTTGGGTTAAAAGAAATGCATTTCTGCGATATTTTAAACTTCATAATATTTACTAAGATAGATAGATAGATAGATAGATAGATAGTATATCGACTGAAGAAGGTCAGAACGTACAACGGCTGAAGCGTCGTGAATATCACAATAAAGATGAGGACAACTGTCCGAACAATGTAAATAGTGAAAATAATTACAATACCACATCTCAGAAATACAGACAGATGTTAAATAATATTTGTTTCAAATCAGATTAATTCTATTTTAAATCTGCTAATATTCGTCAAATAAAGTTTCAGAAAAATATATTTTATTTTTGGAAGATTTTTTAATAAAGAGAATTACATTGTAATGAAAGACGACTAAAAACTATTTTAGAAAAGAAAATTCCTTCCAGTCAATTTAAATTAGTTTTTGAAAGAGGTAGGGAGGAGGCACGGTGGAGTAATGGATAGCGGCTCGGATTACGGGAATCGGAGAGCCGAGTTCGAATTCTAGTCGAATCCATTACATTACTTGGGGAAGGTATGAATTGCAGGACAGACCGGGTTCTATAGCCTTGGATGGCAACTGGTCTTCCGCAGAAAGAAAAGGCAACCTAGTGCATGAAAAAAAAACCTGCCTCGTCAGTCATGTATCGAAATATACATGATTGTCTAAGCGCGCGTCACATAACTGACTGATCCAAGACAAAAAATGTGTAATCTAAATTCTGAAGCTTTATTTGACTATTTTAGCTTTAGCGCTAAAAAAAAAAAAGTTTATTTTATTGTGATGGTTGAAAGGGGGAGATGCGCTTATTTCATTATACAAGTAGTTAGTGCAACAATAACGGGGCAAAACGTTCACAAATTAAAAACTGCGTTAAAACACAAAGGGGATACACACAAGTAATCGCAGCATTCTAACTTGAAGACAAGTAGAACAGAAATATGGCGGATGAGTCGTACGATTTGTCTATAAATTTTCCGGAGTGGTGGGAGCATGATTTAATAGTCATTTCTATAAATTAAAAAAAAACATGGCACATAACTGACTGATACAAAACAAAAGTAGCGTAATATAGTAACAACTAGCAGGAGAGCCCGGCATTGCCCGGGGATGTAACAGTAAGAGATAGATCAAGTATCGACCATCATAAAGACTGAAAAATAAAATTGACGAAGATTATTGTTTAAGGTTGACGGACACGCATGTCTTAATTAGTTTTTATTTTCTTTTACGAATTGGTCAAACCCAAACTCAAACAAAAACATTGTTTTCAGTTGTTATGAGTCTATCGATTGAATAGAATTTTATTATAAACAATTTTCTTGTAAATGGAATTTTCAAGCATTCTGAATGTAAAAATAAAGAAAAAAGGTGCGCAAGACAATAAGAAACACTACCTGCCAAAAAAATGTGAAGTTTTGTTGAA